AAAAAATTCTAAGGGAGGGGCGCTATAGCGCAATATAGGTTCAGTGGTTCCTCCTTTTTTCCAGTGACTCCGCCTCCAGACTCCGCCTCCAATGCCCGGCTTTCAGTGAAAAACGAGATTGCAGGACGAAAAAGCATGAAAATCGTCACTTGTACGATCGTAGAGTTCTTATCGGTGAATCAGCTGTGCGTATGAGGGCGTAGTGTGGGAGATAGAGTTAATTGGGCACGTACAAACTGGGATCAAAATGGGGTTCTATCTAGGGCAGGTGGCATGTTTTTTGTGCTTTTTTTCTTCACTGTCGAGTTACTCAACCCCTTGTCGTCTATATGGAACCCCTAATCCACTATCTGAGATGGCGAATAATCGCGGATTCTGCCTTTGAGGAGACCTTATCTATGATATTCCGGACAGTTTCTTGTGCTTTTTCCTACACTGTTGAAATCAGACATATACAGGGGGCCAAAAAAAAAAGTCATTTTGCCTCCATGACTTTCAAGGCGCTATAAGTTACACTTTATTAAATTTTTATCGGACATTTTTACTACCATATTAAAGAGCACATTAAATACTATAATGATACTCCGCCACAGCCTTCTGGAGGAGCGCCATCGAGAGATTCGGCAAAAGTGAGTGGGTACCGGAGTTGAGCGAGATCGTTGATTTCTCCGCCACTGTAGACCACCCTGTTGAGCTCCGCCCGAACCGAGTAATTGAGGGGGTTTAGTTCAGGACCCCCGCTTAAATACTCCATCTTTTCCAGGTACTCAACGTTCTTCCATTCCAGTAGGCGGGAGTTTTTCCAAAACCCTTTGATTCCATGTGGTGGCACCCAAACCTGTAGCAGCACAAGGTCTCCAAGAAGGTACGGGCGACCACATGTAGGGAGGATATTCTTCTCGAGTTACTTGATGTAACCGCCAGCGCTCACCTTCAGTCGGGGTCTACAAAGAAAATATCGGTCTTCCCCTTTCCAGGTACCCCGGTCCATACCATCAACTCGCGCCTCGGCGAATACGGTGAAGATGATGTCCTAGACCGTAGCGACGTTGCCGTAGCTGCTCGATGTGGGAGGTCTTGCAGATCAAGAGTACTGACCTCCAGGTAGCTATCTGTGGATGACTTCATTCAAGAAGTTTCGCAGCTGTTTGGAGGCGACGTGAATTCCAAAGGTGTTCTCCAGTCAGGCCGCGACTGGAGATGACTTCATATTTTGGCGTACATGAAGGCGATTGGCGGCAGCCTGCTCCAGCTTATAGAGGAAGATCTTGGGTATCTTCCGCCCTGGTACTCATATCCACTTCCTCTGTCTGGGCTGCGAAAACTTCGCTCATATGTGACTCGGCCGGAATGACTTTTTTTTGGCCCCCCCTGTATATGATTGTCTTTAAACCCCAAAACACCTCTCTCCGTCGCGAAATGAGCCTTTGATAACCCAGGAATAACTCGCAACATTTCTTCTTTTTGAACTTCTAGGTCGAAATAATACCGCCAACATCTATTGTTCTGCCATTAATAGTGAAATATCTAACGTTCACAATGTTTATGGTCTCATTATCCGTGGCGCTAACCGTATTTGTGAGTGCAAATTTAGATCTTACATATCCTGGTTTATTCACATTCGAAAAATAGTGCTGTGGGAAAGGGTCTCATTCTGATTTGCACGGTCCGTAGATCAACACTGCTCCAAGTAACTCAGCCGCACAATGCTGGGTTATCCAAATGAGTTACAGTCTTGTTTGCTGGGGAATGCGGGGGCGTGTCAGGGGCCGGGTCTGGCGCGCGCAGCCCGTTTTCCAATTGTTGTCGCCTACCCTCCCCAAAAAATGGTGGAGACAGGCCGGCGCCGCACCAAACTGGCCTCCTCCCCCTGTTACGTCTCAGCACTCCGTGGCGAACAAGACTGTAGCTAGCCGACTTCCGTATAGAGAAGAACACTGCTCGGGATTTTACTGACCAGAATCTACTGTGCAAGTCAAGGACCCATTCAAATCTTTGAAAACCTGCATGGGCGACGGGCTTATGGCTACTTCCCACAGAGCGTCAATGCTGAGCTTTTTATCTCCCATAATTTTATTTTTTGGGAGGTATGATTTGGAGATGTTGCTCTCATCCGACTCTCCCTAATAGCCTTATGGCATTCAGGACTATCTTACACTATTTTGAAATGGTCAGTACCGTCACTTTCGTGGGTCCTGATCCTTACTATGCTCGAGTCTAACGGGTCCACAGCTGCAGAAGTGTGTCACTTTCGCCACTCGGAAATGCGCTGAAATGAGGCTGGGAGGCAGTGATAGGCAGATGTCGGTTCGGACTCCACTGAGAGGCAAAACACACACGTACGCAACACGCCGCACGGCCATGCAGTACGCCTAGTTTTGAGCAAGCGCACTAGCTGTTTGCACCCTCTCACGTTTAGTTCTTTACTACCGTTGACTGCGCACTTTCAGCAGCTTGCCAATATGTTTGCCTCGAAGCTTCGCCATAAGACCGAGGCTACATGCACGTTGTGGATAGCGGGTGGAGTCCGAAACAGCATCCAGCTATCGTTACCCTTGAAGCTTCATTTCCACACACTCATTAGTGACGAATTAGTGGAAAAGTAGCATTTAAAATAATACTTTCCTATGAAATCAACGAGGAAAGCAGCTGCGGACCGCCACACTTAGCACAGGATCCATCTCAGGCGGGGTATAGCACGTTAAACTTACCTGAAATAAATGCGGACCGATCCACACTGATGGGGCAGAGGCGAAGGACGATTGGGTCTTCTTTATAGACTCGTTCCTTCTCTTAACCTTCTCAAAACGCCCAATCAGGCTACGGTTCTCTGTCTCCTCCTATACATCTGCATCAACATGGACTGTACCTTCAAGCAACTGCATAACTCATTCAGGTGCAAAACATTCATTTCCGTACAGCCAATTTCCCGATTTCGGATCGAATTCGACGAATCTTCATCGACACATTGGGGCGAAAGCTGCTCATCTCAAGAGCCACAGAAGAGGCTAATTTTCATCGAAAAGCTCAGCATAACAAGGTGAATTATACGAAATTGCATAATTTTGGAACAGATTAGCCAGCTAAGTCATCTCATCAACATTTTTAGCTTGAATTTTCCAACAATGAGCTGTATAGACACAACCTCCCGAAAGACAGCTCTCAAGCTTCCAATTATAGGATTTTGTAGTTTAGTTATTTGTTACCACATCTTTTTTTCTTTGCTTTGCTTGTATGCAGAGGGGTGGAAAAAGCATCTCTCCCATTTAGTCGTACATAGTTGGTTCAGCTGACGAAATTGTGAGCTGGATTGATGTTCCGTTGCTTCCACGAGGTTTTTAGGCGGAATATTTCCTCGGCCCATGTGGAGGTCCTTTCGTGGTTTTCAGAGGCTTTATATTGCACCACTGGATTGTAGTGCAAAGCTACGATCACTTAGCAACTTAGTATGTTTGTAAGCGAATCAAGTGAAGTTGTGAGCATCAGTGACAGTAGATCCACCCAAAAACGGACCTAATGTCACATGTCCGTACAAGTTGATTCGTAACTAAATCAGACGATTTTACTGTTTCGTATTTCAGCAAATCAGCGCCTTGTCGGCGATGTCGATTCTACAGAAGCAGTTCCACAAGACAGTATTCGAAATAGAAATGGCTACGAAAGCCAAGAAACCGATGTCAACTGTGAATTCGCTATTTCTCGAGCTACCTATGATGAATCGCTCAATGAGTGTCAAGTCGGCTAATGCTGTTTCACCCTTGAACCTGAAGAAGTACGATTTTTCATTTATTATCCTGCCGGTGAAGGTAGATGAGAGTAGCCTCCTTGCGCTCGCACCCCAAAACTTGTCGCGACCCTCACTACTGAAGAAAAGCTCTTGGCCAACTTAGAGACAGACTGCACCTCCGAGGATTCTGGTCCCTGCCATGTGCCACCTAGATGGGTCCGCAACAGCTACCTCCCGCTTGAGGGTCACACCTTCACGGAAGGGAAAGGAAGAGACACCTAAGTGCCGTCTTCGTGTTCCGCCCGCGCTGCTGCACGTCCAGCCGCAATTCTCACCATAGCCAAATGCGATACTTATCAGCCCTGTCACTTTCTGGTTAGTGCACAAGTGCTAGAAATGGAGTATGGAGACGGCGCCCGTGTACCACTTGCCCCCAGCCGCGTTCCCGTGGACTTTTGAGCGGGAAAAAAGAGCTACTGCATCTGCGGACCCATTCGCTTCGCACATGGAAGGACCGCCCTCGAAGGTGAGTGTACACTTCACTTCCGAATCTGAGGTTAAACAGCCCTTTCCACATATTAGATACCGTGGATGCATTTCAGGTCTGTCCCCTCATTAAGCCATAGATCTTCAAGACTTTGTTTTGTTTCCAAGACACCTACAAATTATCTGCATCGGCTTATCTGGCATCATACCATTAAAACCACGTCTGTCAGCACTTTGCGATAGGCTTATCATTCATTACACGATTATGTCCGTACACGTGTTAAAAAGCAAAAACATTATTTTCAAATTAATAAATTAATTGATTTCGAACCCGGAAACCATTCGCTAGTAGCAGCAATTACCAGCCACAGGTGGTAGAAATCAATGAACCCCCTACTAACATTAGAGATCGAAAACTTTCAGAGGCGGGAAACGTCGTAAAACAAGCATTCATTCGAGCTTCAATTCATCACAAAATCAGAACATTCGCCGATCCGACAGTATCGTACGAAATAAACTACGAAGAGCTGAAAGGAACGTGCAGTACATCGCCGAAACTCTTACTGAACGACGTCAGGCAGAGGAGGTACGGTACAGTTCGTACGCTTTGCACATCACAGAGGCTAGGTTTAGCGCGACGCTAGTCATTCCTCCGCCAGTTGTTGAGCGAGCAAGCGACAACAGTTGGAGGAAAACGGGTTAGCGCCGCACCAAAAGCAGACCCTCTGACACACACAGAATCCGCAGTAAAAAAACTTCAATTTTTTGAAACGAGAAGTCTGCCTCATCGATGATTCTTAGGGCTGTTTTCATTCAGCTTCGTACAATCACAAGGGAATCTGGGGAATCTGGACACAGTTCGGTGTTGGGAGGTAGGGAGGGGGCATTTCGCACTTTCCCTACATCCCAACTACGTGTCGAGCCGTCAGATGGACACCTGTGAGATCTAGGGAAGTCACGAAGCGATGCCAGCCAGAGTTTGTTGAGATCATCTATCAACTCTGTTAAGTATAGAGCACAATAAGTAGCGAAAAAGGAGCCCCTCCCCCTAAGTCGTACTGCGCAAAATTTGTAACCCAACTAATAGCCAAGAGTTGCCTTTTGAAGGCGAAGATCTTCTTGGAGGTGCGAAGTGAGTTGTGTGAGAGACCCTCGTGGTCACAAGTGCCGTGAGCAACTGTGCTTTTGCATGAGTTTCATTTAACGTGGAAGGGTTGCGGTATGT